CCCCTTGCTTGGGTTAGGTGGCAAAGCATCATCAGACAGAGGCTTGAGCACTAACAGCGCCCAAACTGGCGCTGAAATGCTGCAAGACGGATTGAATAGTTTCTCTCCTTTCTTTCTCAAGGTGCGTCCCTGGGTGGTTATAACTGGTTTTTTCTCGTTGTATTTCCTGGTGAGTTAGACATAGAGAAATAGTGCATGTGAGATGAAAAAGCAAGCGAGAGAGCGAAAGAGAGAGGAGAAGATCTATATTTTAAATTTCTCCCTTATTTTCATTAGTGCTTTTTTGGTGTATGTGACTCAGTGGTTTTTCTTATTTTGAGTTTTTCCACGTTAAATCCTGTGTCCTTTTTATTTTTCCCGCTGCTTTTACTTTCTTGCTTGTTTCGTCATTGTGGTGTTTTATCCTCATCCCACAATAACAAATCTTTAATACAAAGAGAGCCTAAACATTGGTTTCTAAAGTCTTGAGTGAAGAGCTAACTAATGGAGCAGCAGCCATTCATAGTGGTAGGAAGTTCCAGTTCTGAGCAATTGATATGCTCCTTTTGTGGCAATGATGGTTATTTCTAATTTCCTGAATGGGCCTAGAAAACATTTAGAAAGAAGCTTATGTCCAAAACTTTGCAGGAAGATAATAAGATGTGATGCCCTTGAATTTTAGCCTCTGTCAATATGTACAAGATGATGACCCAATTCATACCTTCTTTTTTGAATTAACTAGCAGTCTAATTCAAACCAAAATTCCTAGCGATAGAAGACCAAGCATAGTAACACCCACTTGCAAAATTTTACAAATATAGAACTCAAAGGGGGTATAAATGGATTGATTGAAATAATGCAGATGAAGTCAGGGAATTGATTCCAAAAAATGGAGTGAATAAGTGGCTCCATGGAGTCAATATAGGAGACCATTTAAGCATTTGCCATCATATAGCCACGAGCCCTGACATGATAGATCACTAACGAGTAAAAGCTTGGTGCCCAATCTTGCTTCTAAGGATAAGCCTTATAAATGACATTAGGGTCAATGCGTCTCATATATAATTATGTATCTATCTAGGCATAAATCTGACATGAAAATTTATGAATACATCTATGGTAAGATGCCCGAAGAAGAAATTTACCCCACAATAGAATAAGAAGGAAGTAACTTTAACAAGCACAAAAAGATATCATCTTACTGCGAATGCAAAGAAGGGCTTTTTTGGCATCATTTTAGTTTTTTGGTTTATGTTGTTTGGTTTTACACGCTAAAAAAGTACAAAAAAATGCTTGCCAAGAATACATGATTGGTTGTTCACATTGCATAAAAAAATACACTTGCTACTCTGTCATGAAGTTTTAAAAAAAAAAATTTCCTAAGAAGACACCTTGGATGTTTTGTCCTTAAAATCACCCACTAAAACCAATGTCCTCTTCAATAGAAACTTACCATCATCGATGAAAAACATTGATTACTAAATGGCTCATAAAAAATACACACCATCATCAGCTTGCCTACATCAACCCCCCACACCCCCAACAAGCACGGAAAACTTGAGGTCCAAGACAACATAACAACCCGATTGATCAACACAATCATATTCCGCACATAACGGTTATCCCTACCCCTGTTTTTCCATCGAAATTATTCACTATATCATCCACAATCAACATCATTAACACCAATCTCCCTATCCTTGAAACACCTCTTCTCCCACTAACTTGTACGTCAATAATCATGATCCTAAAAAACCATAGGTTTCATATGAAACATTTAGAGTGTTAATGCTTTTGGTGGATAGAAGGTTTAAAATCATATTAACCATATGGGACAAGAACCAAAAAAATTTATCAACACACCCTTGTATTCACAAGGTTTTAAGCTAGACCATTCAAAATGAGTGTTTTCTCGTAGTTCTCATAATCCATTGGCCATCTTGATTTCTTTATCTTATGCATTTTCTATTTTCTTTTACAATTATTTCTAATTTTCCTTTTTGTACTCATATCATTATTTAGTTATAGTATTAAACTTAATTAAAAAAATAAATATCAATCTTTCTTTGCTATACTAATCTCCAATTCTAAAAGTAAGAGAAAGGCGATGATGCCACTTTAGAAGAGCCTTAACGTTGAGCCTATATCAAGTTTTGCATTTAAACCCGAAGTAATCCAACAGAATTTCACCATTTACCACGCCAAATTGTAAAGTTCACAAGCTAACAGGTGATATATTCCAACAAGGAAAAAGAGAGGAATCATAGATGTGAAATAAATAGAAGCAGCAAACGTTAAATAAACGTTAAGTATATGGGCATGTCAGCTTTCTTGAACACAATGAAAAAGCCAAATCAATAAAACCATCATAAATTTGAATGGGAGTTCAATGGAAACCTGTACAGTGAAGTTGGCACATCAAAAGATAACAGTCCATCTGGCTTTGGATACGGGATCGGAGTATGATGACTTGCGATCTATAAATGAAACTTTCCCAGTCAGATATCTCTGAAATTCTAAAAAAATTTCCTTTTTTTATTTAGCATTATCAAAGCCTTAAAGGGTTCATGTCATGATTATTCGACAAATTTTATACTGGATGTCGACTACCTAATGCAGCCCTCCACTTTTTCATCCAGGACTTAGGACCTGGCAAAGACAGTATTGAGAGTTATGAGCATAGGTTGCGGCGTGATACTAACGTTTCTCAACATCAATTTAGATTCATGCTGAGTAGGTCTACTATGGAAGCTATACATTATTGAGAGGTCTGATGGATGAGTATAGAGAGGATAAGGAGGATCTATATATGATATTTATTGATTTAGAGAAAGCATATGATAAAGTTCTAAGAGAAGTGCTATGGAGAGTTCTAGAAAAGAAAGGGGCTAATAATGCTTATATTCAAGTCATTAAGGATATGCATGGAGGAGTTATTACTTGAGTCTAAACACAAAGTGGTTTGACCAAGTATTTTCCTATTTCAGTTGGATTACATCAAGGATCATCTTTAAGCCCATTTGCAAGAGGTTCTCACTAGACATTTGCAAGAGGTTGTACCATGGTGTATGCTTTTTGCTAATGATATTCTTCTTGTTGATAAGACTAGAGAGGGAGTTGAAGGTAAACTTGAATTGTGGAGGTCAATCTTAGAGTCTAAAGGCTTTCGTTTGAGTATATCTAAAATTGAATATATGGAATTAAATTTTAGTAATAATAGTTCTAGCGAGGGGATTGTGACTTAGGATGATCAAGTCATTAATAAGAGTGCACATTTTAGATATCTTGGTTCTATTATTCAAAGTGATGGTGAAATAGATGGGGATATAATTAGTAGAATTCAAGTTGGATGGTTGAAGTGGAGGAATGCATTGGGCTTGTTGTGTGATAGAAAAGTCCCCCTCAAACTTGAGGGAAAATTCTATAAAATGGTGGTTAGACCTGCAATGCTTTATGGTGCAGAATGTTGGCCATTAAAAAGAAGTATAATATTAAGCTAAGTATTGTAGAGATGAGAATGCTAAGGTGAATGAGTAACTTTACTCTTGGAGATTGGATACGAAATAAGCATAACGTGAAAAGGTTGGAGTAGCTCCAGTGGAAGATAAGATTAGAGAGAGTCGTCTTAGATGGTTTGGTCACATAAAATATCGGTCTTCCGATGACCCTATTAGGAAAGCAGATGTATTATATTTGACTTATGTTAAGAAGGATAGAGGTAGACCTAAAAAGACTTGGTTAGAAAATATTAGAAATGACCTTTCTTTATTAGATTTGTTTTATGTTAAGAAGGGTAGAGGTAGATGTATAAAGACTTGGTTAGTCCGTTAGTGGGATAAAGGCTTGATGATGTTGTTGTTATTGTTGCATTATCAAAGTCTCAATGAATGAGAATAATAGAATAGTTGGACTCACTTCTGTTGCTTCATGATCAGGTTTCCCATGCTTTAGTGTCAAAGGCAAGTTTCCCCTGAAAATATAACTAATAAAAGAGAAGACAGTATCAGCCATCCAAGTAACGTCAAGTAATTCCGAGTACATTAGAACGTTTGATCATACCGCTCCAATGCAGAGAAGGCTAAACCAGGCAGCAAACCATATTCAAATGCCTGGAAGAAATGGATTGGACAGAATTCATTAAAAATACAGATTAAAAACTCATCAAAATGCAGAACAATAAGTAGGCTATCGGGTAGCTAAATTCTAGATTAGTCTTAAAAAGTTTCTGAAACAACATTATATGCTATTAATAGAATGATTTTTACTGGGCGATAATTTCGTGCTCTGTACAGCTCCTCCCATATCCAGGATTTCTTAAGACTGTCCCAGTATGTTTCCAATTGAGAACCTTCAAAAAGGACATTGAATGCTGCTTCTGCTGCCAGCATTCCTGAAAGAACATGTTACTATTGGCTTTCAGAAATTGGTAGCTGCAAACTTTAGAAATATAAAGTTCATAAAAAGTTGAATGGCTTTGATAATTTCACAGAGATTTAGGATAAAATGGTGAGCGAATAAGCTCAAGTCATCAAGACATCGAGTCGAAATAGATTTTCAAAGATGATATAAAATGGAAACAAGGAATACCTGATTTCATGGCTGTATGTGTACCCTTTATCTTAGGCACGTTTATGAAGCCTGCAGAGCAACCAATAATAGCTCCTCCAGGAAAAACAGGATAAGGAATGGACTGAAAATCAAAGTTCAACAATTAATGTAATAGAAGTTTAGAAGAAAACTGTCAACATAAACAGATGATTATACGTATGGCATATGTTAATAGAAAACGTGCTAAAAAAAGGGAAGCCATCTCTGTTGTATTCACAAGTGTTAAAACCCAAGAAATGTAGACCACACATACACAAGAAAAAAGTCAACTCGAGCATTGACCAAACTTACAAGATGATTCATACTGACACATTCTAAGACTATAAGCTTACATTGCCTTCTCTCATAACCAATCTATTACTCATTGACAAGTTTTTTTTACTTCTCTTTTTCATTATGAATAAATGGAGGAGGGTCCTAAGATATTCCTAATCAGAGATTTTATGTTTTCATGGAACAATAACTAGGTCATACGTTCATTGTCAGTTAGTCTCCATCCATAAGGATGTAAGCAACTATACAACAACAACAACATCAAGCCTTTATCCCACTATGTGGGGTCGGCTACATGAATCCTTTTTTTCCATTGTGTCCTATTAAAGGTCAAATTCTCGTTTAAATCTAATAAAGAAAGGTCATTCCTAATATTTTCTAACCAAGTCTTTTTAGGTCCGCCTCTACCTCTCCTAACATAAGTCAAATCTAATACCTCTACTCTCCAAACTGGGTCATTGCAAGGCCGCCATTTTATGTGACCAAACCATCTAAGGCGACTCTCTCTAATCTTATCTTCTATTGGAGCTACTCCAACCTTTTCACGTATATGCTCATTTCGTATCCTATCTTTAAGGATGTAAGCAACTATGCATAACAAAATTCAAATAAGAGGACCAATGACTCGAGTGTCTTGCAGTTTCATGGCTTGTGCAAATCAAAGATCACCAACAAATATTTATGCTTACCTGAAAACCACCTTCATTCAGAGTGCGGGCGCCGTATTGAAGAACGGTTCCTCCTTCCAAAAGTGATTTGATTGAAGGGTGATGCTTGAATTTCTGAGAGGGATGCAAGTTGCAAACAAAGCATTTGTTTAATTTGGTATACTTCCATTTAACTAAACCCATACTCGAACATTTGAATGCCAGGAAATATTTACTCATAAATCTAACAGAGAAATCACAGATCATATTAGAAGAAACTCTACAGCCAAATAAATAGTACATTGAAAATTTCTGTGATTATATCGGTCTTCACAATTTTTGAAGGGAATAAGAAAATAAGGAAATAAGCAAAAACAAAGTATAACATGTTTTCATTATGGATGACCAATATAGTGGCATTCCATAATTTTCGGCAGATGAATCAATCTTAATTGCCAAATCAATATTGAAACAGAAAATAGTCTTCCTTGCAATACCACGGTGCACCTCTTAGTGATGATTCTATTGAACAAAAGGAATTCGTGCGTGCAGAGAATTAGATATTAGGATCAAGCGCATAATCATCTTTGGTACTGAATAAAAAAAAAATACAATTTCGGGCACGATGTAATAAGTTTCAAAGTGAAGGAAGGCTCTTCCCATCCCTATCATATGTTATGTAGGACTAAGCGGTATATGAAAATATAAATATTTTTTCCGGATGCTAAGAGAAAAGTTTACTAAAACAGAACTTCCGAGCTCTTCCTAATTTTCCATTAATGTAGACCATGCTCTTTTAGAAGACCTATAGTTCACGAGCAGACATTTCATCTTGGATTTAACAAGAATCAGCAGATTTCCAGGCTAACAGTGGCATCAAAAGGATTTGTGCAGAGCCTCAAAATACATGGGAAGTACTAACCGATGATTCCATTTAATAACACAAAACAATTCCAAATTTCAAGAATTTGCAGATGCTTAAATTGCTAACGTGATAAAAAGTAATAAGAAACACTAAGAACAATAGTGAATACTAAAAAAAACTGAAAGATGAAGATATTTCATATTCAATAAAAAAGAAAGAAAAGCTAGTTACCTGAAATTCATCAAACGGGCTCAAGTATGGATTGTGATAATTTAAGGCAATAACTAAGCCGACAGATACCTACATATTAAGGAAAATACAAAGCTTAAATAATATGATTAAAGCAGATATTCCAACAATCAAAGGCACCAGAATGGGGAAAACCCTAAATACGTGATAACCACAAAATTTTACAACAATGAGATACTCAACATTTTGCAATGGTACCACAAAAGGAAATGTCAAATTTGAGTGCATTGCCTTCATTCCTAAGTGTCAGTTAGTATAGAATTACATTCATAGTAGATTGTTTTAATGACATATAAGCAATAATAATAATGTTTCTTTTAATCGAGAGCAATATTTCATTTTACCATTGAACACGAAAATTAACCAATCTAAGAAGGGGATCCCCTGCATGGGATTTGTGGTTAAGTTTGGTGAACAGCTAGGAAGACAAGCAAGCGAAACAAATAGTTGTTCATAATTTGGAGGTAGCGAGAACTAACTAATAATATAAATGACAGAAAAAGAAACTGCATATCCCATAGAAAAGGTGAAGAGTAATGATGTAATAACTAGTTCACCTGGCAGGTTCAATTCGGGCCAACCTTATTAATCCCGCGAATAGATGCAGGCAAACAGAAGACGAAACAGATGACTGGGGCGAAACCGAACGCATGCGTGTGAGGATTCAAATATTTCGTTTCGCCATTTTTAGCAATCGATCGCGTTTGGGGATAAGAATCATCAACTCATCTTCATTCCAATCGCTAAAGAGGTAGAGATTACGAAGAAATGAGAGGAACGACCGGAAAAAAAAAAGGGTAAGAAGTTTTGTTGAATTTTCTTTCCATTCTTGTATAAATTTCCTTGTTTTACTTCTTCTAAAACAAGAAATATTTTTCATAAAGGAAAAGGAAGGAATTGAAAGCAAGGAAAAGGAAATTGGGAGAGAAGGAAGAACAAGGAATTAGACTTTGGAAATTCCTTCTTAAGGAAAGGTAAGTGATCAGTTTAAGATTATGTTTCATTTCTCGTTCTTTTATTGATAAATAATGAGTAAAATATTTAATTTAGGTTGGAAGAATCCAAGTGATATAGACTTTAGTGACGGTGGAGGAAAGAAAATATTGTGAGGTAAATTTTGTAGGAGAACTCAAATGTTTATTGAGATATTCAATTGATATTTATTATTAATTAAATTATTACATTATGGTGAACATTTTTCAATACTGGACGAAGATTTGAAGAGGAAAATAAAGTGGATAATTATAGTTGTGAAATTTTAATACTTAGTATATTTTTTCTTCTATTTCGAACATGACAGTAGTATTTTATATAATGATTTTACTTCAAAGGTTTTCTTTTTTTAGAAACTATTATATGTGAAGCAATGTGATGCAGGACTAATTAGATGCGATGATTATGTAGTCATTTAGGCATTGCACAACGCTTAGATTAAAATAAATTCAGGAAATAATTACTTAGCAATTCTCAACGAAGATTCAAAACAACTAAGGAAATGATTTGCTTAAGTGAGATTACATGCTTTGAACTTTGAAGCTTTCAAAATAAATAAGAAAATCACACAACGCAAACAGTAGGCTTCAAATTAAATCCCTAATCTAACAATGAGACGTAGGATGCATAGAAGATTACACTCAATTCCTACAAATGACTAAGCTTGGCAAGAGCAATTTTGTGTTAAAATACAGGGAAAATAATACATCAAATAGAAAATAAAGTTGAAAAATATTCATACATAAATGATACTATATACATATAGGAATATCATTAACGAACGAGGAAAGGATTAATAAAAGTATATGAAAAATAAATGGAAAATGGGAAAATTATAAGCATACAAAATTTACATAAGTTCACCCTGTATAGTACTGACTGGGTAAGCAAAATACACGTACATGTAAAAAGGAAAAGGCTATCTAAAAAAAGGAAATAGAAAATTATTGTACCTTTGATACAATTTAGACGGTGCTCTTGTACTAATTAAATTGAAAAAGTTATATATGTTAAAGTATTATAAATGTTATATATGTATATGATATGATATGGATAAAGGAATGAATGGGAATGAAATGAATCAAAGAACTGGAAATGTATATCCAATGTTAAATGAATAAACATTTATCAAATGTTATATGTATTGTACTTTATGTGTGTTAATTGTCATAGAAGTTACCCACTGAGTTTACGTTGTAAACTCATTCCATTAAACAATGTTTCAGGTAAGTCTTCAGAGATTTAGAATTGATACAAAGGGAATAGTACGTCTATAGAAGACGATGCAACATTGAACATATGTAATTTATGATTTATACAAATGTTAAGTATTTGAGAAAATTTGTTAGTGGCTCTTCAGTTGAATGGAGAAAATTTTATGTTGTATTTCTTATGAATTAAAATGATATGATCCTATTATCCGAGTTTTAATTCCTGCCTCGTTAAACCAAGCATTCGGGCCAGGTCGTGAAAAATGCAGTATGCATTTCAAACTAATTTCAAAATTAATACATTTGACTTCACAAGCCTAACTTAAAGGAACCAATGTAAAATTGAACTATCCAACATCAATAAATGCATCTGGGGCGTTCTAGCCTCAAAGGTTTCAAATATAGATATAGTATGCGATGCAAAAGTAATTACCTATGAAAATAGAAAATAGTTAAAAATCCCATTCCAATGAAAATATCTTGGCCTTCTAATAACTATAACTAGTAAAAAATTAAAAATCAAGAAAGTCATCTAACTGAAATTACACTTAAATTAATTTCCTTCAAGTTGCAAATAAAATAATAGTTATTGCAAATAAATAAGAACTGCAACCTTTTGTTAAGATTTTAATTGACCGCAATATTGAATCAAGCCTCTCCTATTTAATTTTTTTACCTTCATACTCTTTCTAATCAATTATAGAGCCAAAATCTAGAATTGCTCTATCTTGTGTTTGATCTCAAAGTCGACAAATGATCCCAAATTTTTTGCAAAGAACTTTGAGCCTAATATGTGTCATTTATTTTACTCAATTAAATGAAAGACACACATACTTAAAACTTTTGAAACTCCAAAAGTTTTAAAATACTCTTTGATTTCAACTCTCACGTTGGAAGCAAAAATGTTTAGTCCTATTGCATTTGTTTGAACGCAATTCAAATAACTAGTTCAACTCTATTACATGACACAAAATCACATAACTCTTCTTTCCTTAGGCTCAAAACCATAGGACTGGTTATGTTTCCTTATCTCCAAAAGCTATTGAAACATTCATATTCATTTTCCTGAACCCAAAATCAAGTGGATGAATATATTTTCCAACCTAGAACCCAATCCTAATAGTCCTTATTTGACTCAAATTAAATAGGAGGTCTCTTTCCTTTGATCACAAAGCCACTAACCCACCTATTTGACCCAATCAAGTAGGTGGTTTAGTTATATAGATTTAAGATTTTCATTACTTAGCCAAAATAGGTGCTTTTATCCACCATTTAAAATTACATCTAAAATTTGTAAGCCTCTTTTAAGACCCTTTATTCTAAAATTCATCTAGTACAATTAGATGAATTTCATCAAATCCTAAGTAAAATTAATGAGCAAGTTTTCTTGACTCAAATTAAGCAAATTTCTCTTCCACTTAATCAAACATGAAGAGAATCACTAAAATTCATATAAAATAACTCACATTTTTTTTTCATGCAATGCTATATCATTTCATCATAAAAAGTGGAGTGCTTGTGTTAATGGATCTCAGGACATCGTAAATGATAGGCATGCCTTAAAGCGAAAAATGACCATTCAATGTGTTTTTCATAATCTTTAAAAATATAAAATTCACAAAAAATCCAAATAAAAACCCTTTACATTAAAAGCAACTTAAAATGAAATTATACATTGAATAAATTAAATCTCTTTCTGTTTCACAATAATAGAACACATCAAACAATCGTATTAAAGTCGCACAAACCAACACTCAATAGATGCACAACCCTTAGGCATTTTAGGATTATGTTTTTTTTTCTTTTTTTGCATGTGATTATAATATTTGGTGTGGAATAATTATTTAATGATTATTTGTGATGTAGGTGTTAAGGTAGAGATATTTGTTCTTTCATGCAAGTGATCATTCCCAAAAGGGTCGAATAAATTAGAAATATCTCATATAATAATATTTGCTTGCAACTTGCAAGTGTTGCTTTATATGCTAAAGCCCTGAGTATGCATGGCTAATAGTGACTAAAATTAGCTTGATACTACAAGTGCTAGGAAATTTATCATGCGTGATGATTTGAATATCTATTACATGCTTCCTAATATTTATTTTGTAGGAACAAGAACGATTTTTTTTTTTTTTACAATGTAATTCATTTGTAATTTTAGGAAGTCATAAAAACCTGTGAAATACAACAAAAGCATCATGAACTAGAAGAATGATCCCCAAAGTGAAACCCTTAAAGTTTGAAGACCCAAAGGCCTAGTCTATCAATTTAATTGATTTGTAAAAGATAGGATAACTTAACTGCCACTTATGTACTTTTTTAGTCGTAAATAGCCTCTATATTATTCTTTCGGTTAATTATTTTTATGATTGGTTGTGTTTTTACATTGGGCATGCATTAGAATAACATACTTTTCCTAGCTTTCTTTTGATTTTTGCTTGGGGATAGCATGGACATGTTATGCAATCGACTCTTATAATACTAACTTTTCTATCCATTAAAAGTAAACAAATTTAAAAATCAAGTATAAGATAATATTTTCATATAAAACTTGCATATATTATCCCAATATAAGCGGAGATTTCAAAACTAAAATGAGAAGCAAAGTCTCCTTATGGGTCTTGGTATGTAATAATGAAATATGAAGTCTCTTTACAGATTTTAGAAAAAATAATCAAAATGGTCCTTTGACTCTATATGAAAGACCAAAATATTCCACAACTATATTAAAGGACATTTTAGTCCCTCAATTCCTTAAAGAGGAATCAATATAGTCTCATGGGACTATGTTGATTCCTTTTTAAATACTTCAGGAGCCAAAATAATTTTTTAATATAATTGGGGATC